TACCATTACTCTTGTTATTTTTGTATGAACAATTAGAAATTAAATAATAATTTATTTGTTTGTAATTTAAGATAATATAATTAAGCATAATAATGTATAGTATCAATAATATAATATATAATAATATTTTTGTTATTAATTTATGACATAATATAACTAAATTGATTGATATATATTTTTTTTTGCAAGGTGTACGAGCAGTTATTGACAATAAAATTAATAATGACAGTGATGAAGTCAATAATTCAAGTAAGAAAAAAATTGTAATAAGTTCAAATATCTCATGTATAATTATTTAATATAACTTGCTTTTGTAATTTGAGACAAATTAAGATACGGTAGTCACTCAATAATTCGAAAAACTTCATAAATCAAACTAAACACAAAGTCCCCTGAGAAAACCTCTATAATTAGAAGAAAATACATGTATTCTGATCCCTCGATAATTAAAAATATCTGTCGGTGGAACACATTCTATAAATCCAATCAAAATCTTGCTATCAGTAAGTTAGAGGATGCTGTAAACCAGATAATGGTCTATAATATTCACTCAAAAAAAAAAAAAAACATCTCTTTAATATGTAAAATATAATAATATGTATTTAGAATAAATAAACAAATAAATGTAATATGTACATACATACAATTTTTCACCTTTTTTTCCCTCGATTATTCAAACATTCGGTAAATACAATTTTTAACTCAGTCCCTTGAATTTAGAATTATCGAGTGACTACTGTATGTAGAATGTACCACGTATAATTAAGTTATTATATAGTCATTATAACTATTTACACTAAATGATTTTGATTTATTTTATAGGACATGTAGTAAAAAGACCAATAAATCAAGATTATCTCCTGGTGAACAAAATTTTTTTGCCATATGGTAAGATGACATTTATAGTAATTTTTTATTTTACTTTCAAATATTTATTTTTTATTTTATAAGGTTTTGGACCAGATATCGACTGTGAAATTGATGATGATAATAAYGAACCTGATTTTTTAAGTAAGAAATAAATAGTTATAGAAACAAATAGTTGATTTAATTTTTTTTTAAATAATTTTAAGGTTATTCTGTARTGCCATAACTGAACCTTGATGAAGATAATTCTATACCAAGAGATGCAGTAACATGAGAAAAATTTTTAAAATTATAAATTTTTAATCATATTTATATTAATAACTGTTTTTATGTTATAGAATATGCTGTTTTTGGTTAATTTACCATATTCATTAAATAATAGTTGATAAAATRTTGTATATAMATAGTACCTATTATATTAATATGAAGTTAATTAAGGAGCCTGGAACGAACCATGTTATATAAGGAATTAAGGAGTAATAATTAGGCCATTTATATTTYATATCACATGTTAGATAAGATATCTTAGGTATATTGGCCAATATAACTTCACCAGTATAATTTTATTATACTAGATCTATATTATTGATATTGSAGACAGTGGTAGATAAACCAAATCATAAAAAATACCTTTTTTTATTTTTATGCTTTTAAAGTGATAAAAAAAAGATAGATTTACCTTGGGGTGTAAAAACCTACTAAATTAAAATAAATGTGATTTCATTATTATTGTGATTATTCTATTTAAGTCACCCTTGGGACATTTTATTGTTTCTTTTTTTGTAAAATATTAATTTACATTTGATTGTTGATTCATCCATTTATAGCACTTAAGGTTATTATTTAACAGCTGTTTTAAATCACAAATTCTGGGAATGGARAATTGGTGCAAAGATTCATTTGATGGTATCTGATGTAAAAGTTTCTTTGTTGTTAAAATTATTATATCCATTGCATTGATCAATATTACCCCCAATAAGTCTTACATAATTTTATTTAATACAATTTAATGACATACATGGCTAATAATAATATTCGGTAATTGTATATATATATATATTTCATAGTTAACATATTATAAATTTTTTTTATTAAAGATGTTAAATATTTTTAAAAAAATTGACTGTCAACAACAGCACATTCTAAAATTGATAATAAATAATCAAGTGAACAGCTATGACTTAGTAAGACTTTTCTAACTTTGGGTAAACTATAAAGTTTATATTGAAGTACATTTTTATTTCTTTTAAATGTTTTTTCCTTGATCTTTTTGATTCAAATTTAATTCATGTAGCAAAACCAGATAAGATTTTAGAGATTTTCAGTAAGATAATGAAGAAAATTTCCTTCGTTTTTGTCAATGTTTTCTAGCCACATTYTCATAATCTTTTTCAGCACACAATAAACATACAAGCGAATTTCCATTACCTTCTTTGYTGTGTTTATTTTGACTGAACAGCCAAATAAATGTACAGATTCTTGATATATAATACACCTATGTATTCYTGCCAGAAAATTCCCATTTTTACATGCTAAACAAAGCTTATTATTATTTTCTAATTCTATTTCTATATGAATATCTTCTCTACCCKTTTAAAACTCTCTTTCTATATGTCTTCATTTATATCCATGTCTGTTTGTATGTATTTCTTTATTTCCTTATATACTTGTTTCTGTATGAATTTCAAAATTATTCACTTTATCTATTTTTTAATGTAAATCATCATTATCATCCAAATCGAATTCAAAATAAATATCTTCAACATTCTATAAAATTAATATCTTCATTATTTTTGATTTTATTATCATTTACGGAATTTGTACAGTGAATTATCTCCTTTGTAATTATATATTAATTTTTGTACTAAGTAGACTCTAACAGATAAATTTTCCAATTTAAATGCTTTATTTTTAACCTGGTTAAAATTGCTTTCAACTTAATTAGTTGAAACAGTAGCTTATTCTTCATACCCAAACCATTTTGTCATAAYTCCAAATGCACAAGGATACAACTTCATATATTTATAATCACCAAAGGAGCTAATTCAGCTGTATAATGTTAAACTCGCCTTAAAGTTTTTCAACTTCAGTTAGACAATCATCTGCTAATTATGATGCCCAATTCTCAATACAACGAGAACCTACTGTCTTCACATAGATGTTCATTGGCCCATTATCTTCATTTCCTTGATTTTTGTTATTTTTAGTTGTTATATTCACATCAATTAATTCATTGAAAATCTGTAAATATGATGATTTATTTAAAATTAGATTTTGTAAATATCTTTTACTCATAGCACAAGGAATGTATTTTTCATTTTTCATTGGTACTAAAAGTGAACCATCATTTTAGTTTCTTTTACAGTCTATTATAAGTGTCGTTGATTTTACAAACACTTGTTTTGTTCTTGAAAATTAACATTTATTTAGATACCAAATAAAAAAAAAATGATTAATATCATTCCTATTATTCCTAATGTAATATGAAGGTATTTTATTTTCATTCTCATTTTTATTTAATTAAATTTAAAATAAATTTCTAAGCACTCATGAAGTGATATTTATATTGAGTGAAAAACTAAACATGTGCTGATATTATGGCTTAAGGTTATAAGACTGAACAGTAATAGCCTTTTTTAGAGCTTTTATGCTCTATCTTAACAAACATGTTAAGTATACATTCATTATCGGGATAAAGAATCTAGTGGCTACTTTCATTATCTTCTGGTATTGGAATTTTTTTTTACACATCCACCAGCAGCATCAATTGATTTAAATGGAATTGACACTTAAAAGTAAGATTCTTTGTACATTTGTATCTTCAGTTACACCAGTGAACAGTAGAGTACGCAGGATTTTAGTTCGGGTAGGGTTTTCAGTATAGGTTGATCAGAGACCCGTGGGGTTTTCGCCCCCCATACCCCCAAACTATAGGTGAACTAGAAATTTCGGGGGG